TCGAGTTCCCTTTGACTTCACGAAGAGTGTTTTAATAAGTAAAGATTGAATTTTTGAATGAAAATACCTCAATCAAAGTACCTATTATGTCCCTAGACTTTTTTAATGTATGTAGATTGAATCTTTGAAAAAAAATTAGAATTTTGAGTTAAACTTATTCGAGTTCCCTATGAAGTCGCGAAGAGTGTTTTAATGAGTAAAGATTGAATCTTTGAAAGAAAATATCTCAATCAAGGTACCTATTATGTCACTAGACCATTTTAATGTATAAAGATTGAATATTTGAAAGAAGATGAGAGTTTTGAGTTATATTCGAGTTCCCTATGAAGTCGCGAAGAGTGGTGATTAGAGGATGCCTTCTTATATGGCAGACCTTGTATGCAGCCATATTGTTAGTCCTCTGCTGTTGCCAGAATATCTAGCAGTGCTCACTTCTCTAATTCCACATTGTCCTACTATATAATATTGAATCCTTGAAATCCTATCTCACCCTTATATGCTTTGATTACCTTTGGAGTTACCTCCTTATACTTGGTCAGAAACTTGGATTCGAATTTTTTTTTGGTACAATCTAGCGCCCCTAAACCTTTCCCACATCCTTCCAATCAAACCCTTTGACATCAGAACTTGCAAACCTGAACATCTTGGAATGATTCTCTTTTCCAAACTAGTTACAGAAAGATTTGGGCATTTAGCAATCAGTGATGCTCTTAACTAGGGATGGAAACGGGGGCGGGTTTGGGCGGGTGTACACCCTCCACCCCAAAAACCGTTTAGAAACCCCGCCCCCGTCCCCGCCCAAAATTGCAAAAATGGGAGAACTTTCCACCCCATCCTGGCCCCCGTTTAACATTTTTACCCCCGCGGGTACTCGCCCCGTTTAAGACCAAAATTTCTCCTTCATTTAATTTTTTTATCAACTAAAATTATATAATTATTGAACAGATTCATTAAAAAATGGGAAATAAATAATTAATTCAAAATTAAAAACATCCTATAATAGCAATTTCATAGAAGATAACATACCAAAACCAGACAAGCCAAATTACATTGTTCCAATTTGGCTTCCAAAAGAGTTTTAATAAAAAATAAAAAATAAAAAAAAAAAAGAAGAAGAAGAAGATATTCATTACATAGTGGCAAAAAGTTATCAGAAAATTCAGATTTCAAAACAATCTTCTCCTAAGTTTCTTCACGAGTCTCCATAGTTGCACAATTTCTTCAACATCCCCAAAAGAATCATATGCTGATGATTAATCAGCAGAAAACATCACAATTCACTAAAAAGTTTAAAATTAGCATGGATTATTAAAGTGAATTCTTATTAAAGTTGAAACAATACCTTGGCAAGCCTCAAGAACACATTCATTATCATCATTATAATTATCAAAATATATGCTGAGTTTGCATGGATCAAATATTGAATCAATTCTTAAAAAGAAAACAAAAGTGTCAGATAATTAACGCATTAGAAAACAAAAAATTAAAGAATTTTAATATAATCAATTTACCATCCATGTCTTCACACATTAACCAATTCTGAGCACACATCAAAGCCTCCAAAGTAGATGGATGAAGCCTACTCCGATGTGGACTAACCACTCTATCACCAGTGCTAAAAGCAGATTCCGATGCAACAGTAGACACGGGAATAGCTAAAATATCACGAGCAATCTTCTACAAAGTAGGAAACTTAACTCCATTCGAACCTCACCAAGTCAAGACATTAAAATTTGGGGTTCTAGGCAGCACACTCTCTTCCAAGTAAAACTCTAACTCAGTCCTTGTATGAAAATTAGTCACACACGAGTTGAGATACCTATCAAACTTAGACAGACTTGCATCCTCAAACAAATTAGTAGCCCGACTTGAAGTAGAAGCAACATCAACATCCATAGTTCTATCTGTCATTGTATTGACTTGGTACACACAAAGCAAGTCATAAACATTTTGGCGAACTTTTTAAATTTCACTAGAAGCTTCATCTCCATATATCTCTTCAAAATAATATTCTACTAGTTTCATCTTATATCGTGGATCTAAAACCACAACCACTGTCATCACCACATGACAAAAATTCCAATAATTAAAAAATATTTCCATCATTTTTTATGCCATCACTTTAATGATCTCATTAGGACTTTGAAGCCAAAGAGACAATTCATCTCTAATTAAACAAACTTTATGAAAATAACAATTGGAAGTAGGGTATTAAGTACTAGAAAACAATTATGTGGTAGTATAAAACAAATACAATTTTTCACAAATTTCTTTCCCCCTTTCCCAATCTTCATTAGTTGGCAATCTAGTGTAAAGTCTCTCACGTTATTTTAATCGTGGGAACACATCTTTAAAATACAAAGCAACTTCAAGCATAAGTTATGTTGAGTTCCAACGAGTTTTAGAATTAAGAGCTAACTTTTTAGTATATGGGATCTTTAATAGGCGAGCAGCTTCTTCAAAATTTTCAATTATACTTGGTGTTGCTGTCCAAAAATAAATACTATCACGTATTCTTTCTATCCCATCTCGAATTACTTCCAACCCATCTTTAACAATCTAGTTTAAGATGTGTGCAGAAAATCTCATGTGAAAAAAGCTTCCCTCCAGTAAAAGTGCATTAGAATCAAGCTTGTCTAAAAGACAACCAATGATAGCATCATTTGTGGTGCAATTATCCAAAGTAACTGTGGATAACTTTCTATCTATATTCCAATCATAAAAAGTATCCATAAGAACTTTAGAAAAGACTTCCTTATTATGTGGAACATGATCATACAAAAACCTAGAATAAATCAAAATAAAAAAAAAATACTTAATTAATTAAGTATAACAAGTGAAATAAATAAAATAATTGAATATCTAGTGAATAAATATAAAAATATAAATAAAGAAACTAATATTAGTCTATTACCTCAAAATTCTTTGTTGCAACTCCCAAGAATCATCGATAAAGTGGGCTGTTATTACCATGAAACCTTTCTTCGAATGATTGCAAGTCGACATATTAGAAGTGATGGCAACTCTACTCCCAAGGGTCTCCAACAACCACGATGTTTTAGATTTATCAGATTCATAAAAACTTAAGATGTCCCTTTTGATTGTATTTCAAGAAACCATCTTAAACATGGGTTGAAGGGCATTAACGAATCTTCGAAAGCGGGAATGTTGAACAATGGAGATTGGATACTCATGTACTATGATCATGCCCGCAAGCTCATCGTGAGAGCTGGTTTTTCTGTGAAATTTGAGTTGTTTGCTATTGATTGGGTTTCAAGAAAACGAACAATTGTGTGTGTATTGTGACTGATTCTGTGATGTATGACAGTATGAGAGTGTCGTATATGAAATGAAACCTGGGTGATAAGACTTACAGGATCTGAAAGCCACAGGGGTTGAGCGATTTGAATGTTAGCCGCTTCCACAAGTTCAAAACCCTAGGGAGAGTGATTCAGAAAAGCCTATTCCATGTTGTCAGTTAGGTTAACGAGTCATGAGATACTGTGTGATTTCACTGAGACATTGAGGCTGCATCGTTAGCCCATATCATGGCCCAATAGTCAATATTTCTTAACATAAAAGTTTTGGGCCTGCAATGGGTCCTTAATCAGGGTCGAGGCCTCTTCCTATATTAAAATTACTTATCTCAATTTAACTGTCCCACTCATATTAAGATGATTTGACTTTTAAGACCATCAAAATAGGGTTAGGGAATAACTTGGAAAAACCTTTTAAACTCGTCAAGAACTCATCCCAATTAATAATACATATAAAACTAATATTTTTTTTATTTAGAATTTTTTCCCTTCATTTCTTATGATAATTATAATTTGTAAAAAAAAAAAAAATTGTTATTATCTATTTCTATCTATATCTATATCTTTATTTATATATATATATATATACACAATTTATTTCTGGTCGAGAAACACTAGAATTTCAATTGATGGATAAAAAATTCCCTTACATGGTGTAATTAAAAATTTAAATATAGTGCATGGTAAAATGAGGATACAAAATCCTAATTGATGCCAAAGAAATCTCTATTGATGGTACTCAAATAGAAGCAACAGTACTAATACTCCCTTGCTTCTTTTTCTCACACTGTCTTCTCGTCCTCATCAAATATATGGGTATTAGAAACTCAACATAAATGATTGAACTAATTTATAATACAAATTATTGTGCAGTTGCTTCAACTGTTGAACTAATCTATGATATAAAAGTGTTGTATAGGTTTTAAAACTTTATTGAACTAATCTTTAAAACAAAATATTGTATAGTTAATTGCTTCACTTTTTTATTCAAAATATTGTATACTTTTTGCAGTTACTGAACTAATCTTTAACAAAATTATATTATATAGTTGCTTCAATATATTGAATTAATTACACATTAATCATTAATCTTTGATTGATGAGTATTGAATTAATTAATCCATGATATAAAATATTTCTATGGTTGTCTCAATTATTGAACATAATCTTTAAAACTAGCCAAGGCTCTAAGGCTCAAGCCGGCACTAGGAATAAGGCCACCCTTGGATTCTCAGCCAGACAAATTTGTATTCCTACTTTTTTGCTTTGTAATATTTTTGGGACCCCCTTTGATTTTTTTTTTTTTTTAATTATTTTTTTTATCATTTCTTAGGCAGGATCCATCCTCTTCCTCTTCAAAATCAACGCAATATATCATATTTAGTTCATATTTATCAAACCCCGCCTAGCTTTCTGGTATTCTTAAGCAGAACAAAACAATGGCGAAAATTGCAGTGAGCTCTGTTATGAACAATTTGGTCCCGCTGTTAACCAACGAAGCAAAATTGCTTAAGGGTGTCCATGAAGAAGTTGCCAGCATCAAAGATGAATTGGAATACATACCGTGTCTCTTGAAGGATGCAGATTTCAGGGCTGAAACCGCAAAGATCAGTGACGGCTTGCAACTTTGGGTGAAAGACGTAAGAAAAGTTTCTTATAAGATGGAAGATGTTATCAATGAATACATACTTCACTTGGCAAAGCCATTGCATGAGCGTGGTTTCATCACTTTCATTCTTAAAGTCGCTCGCCCAGTTATTAAACTGAAGCGAAGACATGAGATAGCTTCCGAGATTCAAGATATCAAAACAACCATCCAGGAGATCAAGCAAAGAGCTGATAGATATGGATTCAGTTCCTTGGAGCAAGGATCAAGCAGTGGCACAAAAGATAGCACATGGCATGACCCTCGAGTGGCTTCCCTTTTCATTGCTGAAGATGAAAATTGTCGGCATTGAATCTCGCAAAGACGAATTGATCAGTAAGCTATTGGCAGAACAACCGACCGTGGAGTAATTTCTCTTGTTGGGATGCGTGGATCCGGAACGACCACTCTAGCCAAGAAAGTCTACGATAGCTCGACTGGACACTTCGATTGCCATGCTTGGATCCCTGTGTCTCAGTCATACAAAATGGAGGAGACCCTCAAAACCATGATCAAGAAGTTCTATGGATCAAGAAAGGAGCTTGTTCCTGAAGGAATTGATACAATGGAAGAAGTTTTGCTCTTTGAAAATTTGACGGGATATTTAGAACTGAAGGGGTATGTGGTTGTTTTTTATGATGTATGGAAAATTGAATTTTGGAGTTTCATAAAATATGCTTTATCGAAGAACAGCAAATGCAGTCGAGTAATCATCACCACTCGAAATGATGATGTTGCTTCTTCTTGCAAAGAATCTCCATTTGATTACGTCCACCAACTCAAGCCTCTCTCTGAAGACAAGGCTTGGGAACTCTTTTGCAGTAAGATATTCCAATTAGACTTTGGGGGTCAATGTCCACCAGAATTGAAAGAATTCTCTCATAAAATTTTTGGCAAGTGTGAAGGATTGCCACTTGCAATTGTGGCAATAGGTGGTTTGTTATCCTAAAAAACAAGATTGTATCCGAATAGAAAGAATGAGAGGAGAGGAGGGCCAAGGCTATCACATCGTTAAGCATATAACATCTGTTGATTATTGGATCAAATATAAAAACTACAAAGTGAAGTGATAGATCCGAACCAAAGGGTGAGAGTCGTATTCCATTTTTCTTTCTTCATACTTCTTTTTATATTTCTAATTTCTCAAAATAATAAAATAGAGTTAATATTATTCATGATATAGAAATGCTAGTAAGCAAGAAAGATATTTGATTAAAATCCTTTATAGTAATCCATACCATAATTTAGATAGTCTTTTATTAAAAAATAATAATAATAAAAAGATTTATGATAGACTACGTTTTTAAAAAATTTAAGTTAGGATGTTTTATTACTTCAGATAAATTGTCATATGATTTTAGTAATAAAAATTAAACTTGTGATTACCACAAGCCCATTAGCATTTACTAGCATTTTTATTGGTATTTATTTTCAAATTTTGTGATGTTTTTTAGTCTTTTATTTGTATATATTAGTTCTACTTCTTTCATTACTCAATTTTGTTTGCCACGAGTATTCAAATTTTACACATTTTCCTTTTTCAATCCATGGAATGCATTAATTTTTTATTCTCTTACTAAGTTTGGATGATTGTTAGGTATTTATTTTTTATTGAGGAACCACAATACCACTCCTTTCTTGCCAATCTTTGGCTTCTGCCTCTGTCATCAATGTTCTCGTAACCGCTTCTGAATAACTCTTTAATCAAAATACGTCACCCCCAGCCTAATAAAATGATATAGACCGTACACAAACCGTTATATCTTCTCTTCTTCGTTCCCTAACACATCTGTAGCGAAACGTGAAAGAGAAGTGAACTTATTCTCATACTCTATCACTGACATGCCACCTTGCTCGAGACTGTCAATCTGTGTCCTCAATTCCCGTCTCTTGGTCTGCGGAAAATACTTGTCAAAGAAAAGGTTTTTGAAAGTGTCCCATTTCATACTGTCAACATCGTGCGCGCTAGTCATGGTCTTCCATCATACCGCCACGTCGCTAACAAACTTATATGTGGCTAAGGTGATCTTCAACCTACCATCGGGTACGGTTATTGCCCTGAAATGTTTTTCAACTTGATCTAACCAATCGTCCACTACCAACGGCTCTGGACCTATCTTAAATGATACTTTCATGAGTTTGCCAAACTGAATAAGGTACTAAAGATTCTGCTCCATCTCCGTCTCCTGTGGCTGAATAGCCGGTTGTGGTACCACTTAAGGAGCTGTGGAACGCACAAAATTCTGAAAAACTGAGACTACGGTCCTTGCTAATAGAACCTCGTCCTCCGGTACTTGTGGATTATCATCCACCTCTCTAACTCGGCCCTGTCCCAGTGAAATCCTATCCGGCTAGGATGCCCTTCACCTGCTCGTTCCCCAACTTCATCCGGATCAATCACTTCACGTAGTCTTTAAACGCAATACTACAAAAGCAACTAAACGATGAAAATAAGGATACATGAAGTAGCTCAATCCATGAGATACGGTGCTCACACTATCCGTTCGATAAGAACTAAAATATTCATAAACATAGGAGTGATCAAGCCCCTCACATACGTGGGTCAGAACCCACCGTAACTCAACACACAACACTGCTACAAATGTTTAAACCTATCAACAACGAAACGCTCTAGTCATACATACATCCACTCCCTAATGGATGGACGACCACAACGTAAACCTAAACGTGCGACTATGTCTCGAAACAGGATCATAACTATCATGCTCAAATAAATATCATCACATTATATAATTCATGCTTTCATAGGAAATAAGCACTTAACCATTTAGTACGTAATCAATTAAGCATGTTTTAGGAAGTCAATCATTCTGTTAATCATATGTTTAATTGCACTCACTTATAACATTTAACATTTAAGCATGCTCTCACATCCAATAAGTAATAACTTAATAAACAACAAACACGTAAGCACTTAATAATTATGGCCATGAAATACACATACTAGCATTTAAACATATATGCATATAACAATTAAGCATGCTTTAAACAAATTTAACCATTTCATTAATCATACAAATAATTTCTCGTGAGCATCTAGTAAATAGGTATGCTTTCACATTAATTAAACAACAACTTAATAAAAATAAACAACTTACCATTTAGCATGCTGAAATTTAATCATCGTTTCATAATTCATATAACAACAAATCATGTTTTTTAACTAAACAAGAACTAATCACATAAGCATGCAATACCGTCAAACCCAATTCTAACTCCTCTAGGTCAACCATACCCGACGTCCTTAGGTTTTTGAACCTAAAGCTCTGATACCAATTGTAACGACTCGAAACCATGGGTTCGAATCGCTAATCGGATCCTTACCCGAACTCGAGGACATACCAGGGGTAAAAAGGTCTTTTTACAATAAGTAAGGATAATTTGTCTTTAAACTAGTCAAATGAAGTTTAAAACAATTATCATAATCATTCCACGACACTTGAAAAGGTTCTATAATCATTGATCATGATTTCCCGAAAGTGCCCCTACTGGTTTAAGGTAAATCCTAACACTGTCTCACTAAAACAACCTTATCTCTTAGCATGAATTGAATTTGAAGATGAGGTTGGTGTCATTAGAAAGCTAACTCAAAATCTTTGAAAATAGACTCAATAATGACCCATTTGGGTTCGTAATGAAGAAGTTATGACCGCACGAAGTTAGAAGATCAAAGTTAACAAATCAAAGTTGACAAACTGCCAAAGCAAAAGTTAACACTGGAGGACTTGAACCGGTTCAATGACCCTGAACCAGTTCAAGATGGGTAGTGTAGAGGAGTGAGCACAACAACTCAATAGAGATTGCCTAAGCGGCATCTCCTTAAACAAGGTAAGTGATCACATTCCTTATATACAATGAATAGGATAAGGAATAAAGGGGCATGCAAAGGGTCACATACAACACTTCTATATTCCAATAATCATCATACCATATATATACAAGATAATGCATAAAATGCCCAATGCAACCCAACGTCACAACCACACCCTCATGTATCCACACGTCACAACCACACCCTCGTGTATCCACACATCAAATCCACATCCTCTCAACCCCAAGAATACTGTGACAACCCTGGTTTTTCAAACCAGTACGTCCTGTGATGAACCGAAGATTGACCCGATAACGGATCCGAATGCGGAAGCGAAAATAGTAAACAAGACTCTAAGAAGTCAAAGTGACCTTCCATGAGGTCGTGGAACTTAATGAGAACTGATGTAGAAGTAAAAGATCGAAAATATGACAAATAAGCCCCCAGGGGCAAAATAGTCATTTCTGGAAACTGTGGACTCGGGTGCCACCGAGCACACCGTTAGAAGGACAACAAAAAACTAATTAAGATAGACTTAAGAATCGCATGATTCGGAGTCCGGACAAAGGAGAAACGGCATGACGAAGAAAAACGAGCACTTAAAGCAAAAAGGGTAAACTGGTAATTATCCAGGAAGATCTGGGTGTAACTGAGTACACCGTTGGAAAGACAGTGAAAAATTAGTCAAGTTCAAAAAACAATTCACTCAATTTGGAGTCCGGACGAGGGAGAAACGAATGTTTGAAATTGTGACGTCGCGGTGACTCGACGAAGGCCATGGCGCTCCCGGCACCTATGCCGGCGCCTAATGGTATGCACATGTTGATAGCAAGAAAAAAATAAAAAATTGAGTGTCCAAAACTGAGGCTTGAAACGGAGTTCTGAAAAAATACGAAGAAGAAACCTCCACTAAAATTGAGTTTTCTATCCGACTATGTGAAAGGAAACGAAAAAAACTCACAGTAAAATCCCCAAAATGCCCCTAGATCAGAACTGGACAAGAGGGCAAAAAGCTGCTACAGGATCTGAGATCGAAAACAGGCTACCAAAAGAATTTTTCTGGAAAAACACAAAGAAAAACCCCCCTCAAAATTGAGTTTTCTACGTGACTCGTGAGAGAATTAAAAAAAAAACTCTCTATAAAATGCCCAAAATACCCCTCCATGAAATCTGGTCATAAAGGCCAAAAAGCTGCTACAATTGAAAACTGGAAGCTGAAACTTCACGCAGGATTTTCAATGCCAAGATGACATTTTCTGGAAAAACACGAAGAAGAAACCCCCCCTAAAATCACATTTTCTAAGCGACCAAATTGAAAGAAAAAAATAAAACTGAAGTAAAAAGTCTAGAAAGCCCCTAAATCAGATTATACAACAAAGTTTCAAAATGAGTCCATAGGAGGCTCATTTCACCAAGAAGAAGGTTTGCTCGGAAACGACCATGCACGCAAATGTAACTTACCTATTTGGACGTACGACAATGGTCCATGGCTTAAAAATACCACCGATGCAAAATCTGACCCCCTAACGGGCAAAAAGGCAAAAATGAACAAGAAAAGGAAAATTTGAAAACCAAAATTAACAAATAATTTCAAATTACCGGTTGGCCCTTGGCCACACTTCAAACATGATTTATAAGACCCTATGAAAGAATAAAAATGGAATTCCCACACCCGATGCAAAAGTTATGAAGCAATGACGTAACATTTTTCAAGATTTTCATAATATTTCATGAAGTTAAAGTTGCATAGAATACAAGATACATGTCATTGGCCTCCGGTCTCATCTCATACATGTCAAATACATTATATAGAGTGTACTTATGTATACATTACATAATTGGAATCAAATCTACACATTTTGACAAATAAGGCTACAAGTGGCATTTCAAGCCAACATTTTCATGAAAATGATACTTCAAGTCTACGAAACTTCCATGGCATAGTATGCATCCCAAATCAAGGTCCCTGTACCTGAAAAATGTCCCCACTACGTGGGTGAGTAACATAAAGCTACTCGTAGGAGATGAGCATGCATCAACCTAGCATTTTACAATTATATCACCTTATGGTGAAACATGTTAAAAGGGCTCATGCCACCTAAGGTCTATGTCAAAATGAGACTCAGGGATCATCCTAAGCTACTCATGCAATTGAA